TTTACTTCAACGCTATAGTTCATCACAGGTGACTCGAGTGCTGGAATACTTCTGACACTCACCATTTGCAGAATCCGGATGGGGAGGAAAGTGCCATATGAGTAGGACCTAGTCAAACGCAACTCCCTGGGGCGTGCTAGACTGCTCTGGATATGGATCTGGCGCACACTTTCATCTGGCCCTTTTCTGGTTGAGTCTATCTCAGGCATCACCAATGTCAATGTCAGTTACTTGATCGTCAAGTTGCACTCCAGTCATGGCACCAAGATGGCTCGGTACATATCACCTTGACAGGAAGCCAAAAATGATGAAATAGATTGCACTTCTGCTACAGACGTTCATATCAACTCTTGAAGCAATCTACAGACAATCATAACGGTACATAGTAAGAGACTTTGAAGAATCGAAAAGAGCAAACAAAGCAAAGCAACAGCGCTTCGAATCGAATTTCAAAACTCCTTCCCCTCCCTTTCGAGTAGCCCCGGGGGCCTCCATCTCCGCCTGTATATCCATCACAAACTCCCGGTCCTGAAGGGAAGCCTTCAACCAAATATTCAACAGCGACTCAAGTACTCGAGTGAAAAGATTACAAAGAATTGAACGACACATATTGAACAATGGCAAACCCCAAGAAATTCAAAACAAACTAAAAGTTCCTCCCGGCCGCCCCCCCCAATCTTCATCACCGAACTCGAATTATCCGGCGCGTCTGGTGACATACTCGCTTGGAACCTGCCGAAAGTTCTCCGTGACGATGCCTTCCGGCTGATGACACAGGATCGCCACTTGTGCCATCCCGGATTCAAGAATCCAGCGGCCGAGATTAAACTCATCGACCCCGGACGGACTATCAGGCACTCCTCGGTCTTTTAGATGGGCCTGCTGGATCGTCGAAGCCGGCTGCTGCCGCATTTCGCCTTGTATCTTTGGGTCGCGGTACAGTGAGGCTGCTTGCTGGTACTTCTCTGCTTGCTAGTGCTTCTGTGCTTGCCGGTGCTTCTATACTAGCCGGTGCTTCTATGCTTGCCGGTGCTTCTGTGCTTGCCGGTGCTTCTGTGCTTGCCGGTGCTTCTGTGCTTGCCGGTGCTTCTCTGCTTGCCGATGCCTCCGGGTTGCTCGCCTGTGACCCTACTCTCGCCGTGCTGACGATACTGACATGCTGGGGTCCGCCCGGCGACTGGGCCCGGAGGAGCACATTGGTCGAGCTGGTGTCCAGCAGCGGGACGTCCGGTATGTACCCATGCGTGATTTCAACTTGGATGTCGTTGGGATCTATGTTGAACGGCAGCGAGAACCTGATTGTGTTCCGGAATGGGGCGTCCTCCGGCCGGATTGGCTCCTCCTCTGAAGGCTGGGGCCCCGAGAAGGAGAACCGGACGTTGTAGACACCTCGCTCCTGAGTGGATGGGTCGACCCGGGTGTATGTCCGGAGCAGTAGCTGTGGGTAGTCGAATCTGGCTGGTAACTGGAACCAGTAGTCCCTCGGGCCCACGGTCTGGCCGTTCTTGGTCGGGTTGAGGCGGATGTGTAAGCCTCGGTTGCGCCGCTGGCTTTGGAGCTGTGGAGCATCGAGGACTTGGCCGTTGAAAGGACAGTTGCAGGGCACATTATTCTTCTCGAGCTGGTCGAGGAGGGTCTCCAGTTCTTGCAGGCTTTTTTCCAGGACCGGGTCGGGAGCCTCGTCGTCATTTACTCCGGGAGCATTGTCGTCATTATCCCCGGGAGCATCGTCGTCATTGGCCCCGGGAGCCTCTTCATTGGCAGCGGCGGCGTTTGTTAAAGCATCAACAAAATGCTTCTTCGTATTACCACGAACTCTCAGGTTTAGTTCGCTGCACCGCCTCCTCAACTCTGTCATTGTGTACCTGTCGTAGTTCGCCGTCCCTTGGAGGTGATCCCGCAAGATGTCTCTCCAGTCGTCCGCCTTCCTGTTTTGTGGTAACAAGACAAGCGCCTGTTCCCTGAAAGCAGCCCTGAATTTCGAAATATCAGCATCACCCCAGTCCTCGAAGTCAGGGTATAGCTCTTCGTCCTCAGGAACATCTCCGTCATCAGGACTATCTTCGGCGTCAGATCCGGCTCCTCCCCTGAGATCAAGGACTGTAGAACCTTCTTCTACCTCGGGGGAATAGCGGCCTGTGCCATCATGGTGGCCTCCTGCAGCTTGAGCGTCTCCTGCTGGGCCTTGGTTATGTCGTCCGCCAGAACACCCACAACCTCCTCCCACATGACCAGCACCTGCCGCAGCTTGTGCGTCATCACTAGGCACACACCGTACAAGGTAAAAGCGGACGGATTGGCTTCCGGCATCTCCAGAAGGCCTCGGGGTCTCTTTCTCGTAAATGAGAACTCTCGGTTGGTACTCCCCCTTCCGAGCATCTTTCAGGCTGCGTCTCTTGACACTACTATCAAGGTCGTCGATCCGGTCCCATTCGTCGTCTCTCCGGCGAATGTAAGTAATGAAGTGACCTCCTGTCTTCTGCTTTGCATCTTCGTATCCATTGTAAAAAATTATCGCTTGCAACGTGTAAATGGCGTTCCTCTTGTCAGCCTCTCTCTCGCACAGATTGGAAAGATCGAGTCTATCTTCGATGCTAATCTTGGTCTTGAAGTCGAGCTTTGGTAGCTTCGTTTCGCCTTCAACTCGGTCCTGATAATATTGCACGACGATTGGCAGCACCTCTGGCAAGTAGAGGAGCTTTTCAAACCTGCCCATACGTATCCCCTCGCCACAAGTAGGACACAGGTGGAGGGTCTCTGAAATTTGGTCGGGCGGATGTTCGTACATGGTCCTGGAAATCGCACCAGCCAAAGAGTCGTCGTTGACCCTTTTGTCTATGTTCACCCCGAGAATGTAACGGGCATATTCCCAATGAAGCGGCTGTCGATACTTCTGCCGGCACGCACAAGTGTACACGTCTCGCAAGGTAGTCTCATACCCAAAGATCCGTCGATATACAGGATTACATTCTCTATTCATCTCGTCAGTGAATGGCTGCATTTTTCGTTCCCACTTAGGTCAACATTACTTGTATAATTCCGCCGGTATCTCAGCTGACAAGAGCCGTTTCAATAAATAATCGATAAACTCAGAAACATCATGCTGGGCACCAGCATCATGGAAACCCTTTTTGGCAATCCCTTCATCCACCGGACATGCATCGTTCGCAGCCTCTCTGGAAATTGTCTTCCAGACCGGGCTTATGGCTTGAGCGGTTCGTACTGCTCCGTCGCCCCTGCGGAACAGTCGGCCGAGTTCGTGCAGTTGACGATATATCGGCCGATCTTCCATCTTACTTGCTGCCGCTTGGAGCAATTGCATAAACCTGGTAAGGCTCAGCAGTGCGTGCAAAGTAGCATTGCGGTAGCATACGTTCCCCTCATGTCGTAGTGGAAGCAGTTTAATGTCCTCAGCAATTGGCTCCTCGTCAATTGCAAGTATCTGAGACTAGAAGACGGTACGATAAGCGACATATCTCATGACTCCGAGTTATTGAGCAAAGGGATGGGAAGAAGTTGCCTTGATGGCTATCAATGGGTTCCATATATATTCCAGGACACAAACAACATTGATGTTGTGGGTGTCGTAAGACACTGGGAGCACAGAACGCATATATGAGCGCAAGGCAACTTACTGGATCCGCCTTAAGAACGCCTCCGGCCTCCGTTAAATCTTCCTGGAATGGTCCCGTAGGAAAGTCATGCCCTTCGGCTTCAATATACCCAGGCGCTGCTGGCACACCGATTGTCAACTGATTTCTTTGGGCCATTGTCGTTATGCTGTCTCCAGCCGAAATTGAGCTCTTGGAGCCAACAGAATAGGGAGTGATGTATCTCAATTCAAGATATGACAGGCTGTCCGAGAGTTGGAATATACCCGTCCTCTACTGAATAATTATGACCAGTTCCATTCACGGGGTCGTCAATTTAGACTTGTGCAATCCCATTGTGCGATGAAGATGTGAGCGGCTGTACCGACAAAGGGACCGAGAAAGGCCACAAGGACCCCGATAAATTTCAGCCACTGGCATCTGTTACCTGCCGCAAACGGACATGCTCTCATTCAGATGCAGCAAAAAAGAAACAATGCATAGGGAATATGAAGGGGAAGTGGATGACTGCGTCTCCAGTGCTTTATGCTTGATGGCTTGACGCTTGCTTGATATGGCAATTCGACTACCCACCGTGGACCCAGTGGGATTATGTGGTCACGCAAGGAGATAATAGTGGCAACAGGCCAATTATTCTGAGAAACTTCTCAAATTATGTTCCCTTGAATCCTCTTTTCGGCAGGTCTATTCTATAACTCTAGAGGCAAGGTAGGAGAGGCACCGTGTGAGTACATAGAAGTCTGGTACACCTGGGTATTCCAACATTGAAGGTTCATTTTCAGACCTACTGTGTACTACCTCGGTTGTATGTGAGTCGAATTGCAAAATGCTAATGAGGGCGATACCCATAGGCGAGATATTGTCACGATTCTGAGCGTGGTGTTTCGAATAGAGCAACTTGACTGCCATTCTAAGCTATTGAGAATGGGTCAGAGGAGCTCACAAAAGGAGCTTAGTAACTGCAGGTCCGAGCCCCTGAGCGTTTGTTAGGTCAGATACGTGACAGATATAGTAAAAAAGCTGTGGAATAAGATAATTATCACGTAAAGACGCGCTGGCCTTGTAAACACTTGTGTCCTTCGATGCCCTCATTGCTGTAACAGCCCTGGAAGTGATTTGTTTTCCGCCAGACCTTTCACCCCGGATCACAATGCCCAGACGATGCTGAAATTAATTGGATACAATGCAGACAAATACAATGGCTTAACACATTGTAATCTTCATCGCCGGTGGCGTCCGACTCGTTGAGTAGGAGCCACTTTTCGGTTGGCCAAAGATACTTTGTGGTTTAGATGTCAAGCCCCACCTCCCCGGAAGCCCCCGCACAGAACTGACACAATTGGTTTTGAAGTATTCAAGACTTTTGCTAGGCCAAAAAACATCAACCAAGTCTGCCTAGTATAGTGGTTAGTACACTTCGTTGTGGTGCTTAGCACAGTCCCGAAGAAACCCATGTTCGATTCATGGGGCAGACACGATTTTTTGACCGATCTTTTTTTGCACTCGAAGGCTCGAAAGGCGAGGCAGAGTACTAACTAACATACAGGTACCGGAGTGAAGATGACTTCTGCTGGGCTTGATCAGACTTCGTATAGCTCAAGTATGATTTCAATGAGGCCTGGGCTGAACGATGAGCCTCCTTTCGTTTCATGCCCGTTTCGTCTACCTTACCTGACCCCCCTCAATTACTGGTGTACCATATAAACCTAAAACCCAGAGCTCGTGTATGCTGCAATTCGCCAATTTTGCGAAATCGATATTGCAGGGGCTACTACACAATGCCATCCCTCACTTGGGGTGACACGCAGGTGTCCAAACATTGAATCTGGCGCGAGCTATCCAGACTTGGTCATCGGAACATGGTCCGAGACCCAATTTGGGACCACTTGGTGACTTGGTAGTAGTAATTATTGGGCCTAATCTCCAAAGACGGTTTTCACCGTGAAAATACGTTCACCCTCTCACGAATGGCCTGATCAGGGCTACATTTTACTGTAGATTATAGCCTACTGGAAAAGTACGGTAGGATCCATATGTTTCAGGCGACTAGGTTCGAGTTGTCAAATATGTTCGAACCACATCGGCTTCCGGGAAAGGCCACCTTGCCCTCCCCACTGGCGTATTGCATCTCATTTGCCGACCTGGAGTGTACCTGGCCGCCATCTGGGCTCCGAACCAGATGCCCTGTTTACATACCCTAGGGTATCCTGGCACGAGTCCAAAGCACGTCAGGCGTTTTTTTGGTTCGGCTCCAGAGAATAAGAGCCCAGATGTACGTTCGGAAGGCCAGCCCCGTTGATGTGGAAGGCAAGTCTGAGCCCAAGCTATTCGAATCAGGATTGATTTTTAGTCTCTCTGGATACATATATGTTTACAACCATGCATGCTCGGTCAAGCTGAGTCTGGGTCCTGCGATTTTGCTATATATATATATATATATATATAACGCAATAGAGACTGTTCAAAAGCTCTAATTGAAAATAAGGTGTCTCTCGCCATATGTCTTTGCCAATTCTACCAGGACGCGAATATCCCCCCTTAATACGCTCCAAGATGTTGTCTCGTACAAAAACCGCGTATTTTCTACTCTCAACCTACAGCCTCCTCAGCAATGCGGCATCAATCCATAATGATGCCTTCCTCGATACGCGTCAATCCTGCCCAGACATCCACGTCTTCGGAGCTCGCGAGACCACAGCCAGCGCTGGTTATGGGTCGTCCGCGACCGTCGTCGATGCGATCCTCTCAGCTTACTCAGACTCTACCGCTGAGGCTATCAGCTACCCGGCGTGTGGTGGCCAGTCATCATGTGGGAGCGTCAGCTATTCCAGCTCTGTCCAACAGGGCATTGCTGCTGCGGCGAGCGCCGTGAACAGCTACTATGCCGAGTGCCCGAGTACACAGCTCGTGCTAGTCGGGTACTCCCAGGTACGAGTTATCATCTATCTTCCCGCGATCTCATGCCAATGGCTTCATGTGTGGCCCTGTGACTTGATTGCTGACATGAAGTAAGGGCGCCGAAATATTCGACGTCGCCCTCTGCGGAGGTGGCGATGCTAATCAGGGGTATACCAACACCTCCGTCCAGATCTCAGCTGCTGCTGTGGACCAAGTCAAGGCAGTGATCTTGATGGGAGACCCGGCATATGTATATGGTCTTAGCTACGATGTGGGAACTTGCGAGGCCGGAGGAGTTAGTACCCCTTTTCTCCCAACATCTGAATAAATCCAGTGAAACTGAGGCAACTTTACTAGTTCGACGCGCGCTCGTCCAGCTTCCAGTGTCCCTCGGCTGCCAAGATACAGTCATACTGCGACGCCGCCGACCCCTATTGTTGCGACGGCAGTGATGCTAGCACGCACCAGGGCTACGGCTCTGAGTATGGCTCTCAGGCTCTCGCCTTTGTGAAGAGCAAGCTCAGTAGCACGTCCACTAGCACGGCTATAACCTCTACGGATGTAACGACCACCTCTGCTGCTGCAACGAGCTCAACGTCGTCTTCTACTGGGGGGAGCTGTGTTGCCCTGTATGGTCAGTGTGGTGGTCAGGGGTGGACTGGTGCTACCTGTTGCGCTTCTGGGACCTGCCAGACTGCGAACTCATATTACTCGCAATGCCTTTGAGTAACGTGGAACAGACTTCAGCGGGAAAGTTGAGTACTGAACGTATCATATTTCAAACACTTGCGTGTAAATGTTTAACTACTCTGAGGAAATCATTGATACCTTCAAAGTCTTACAATCTGCGTTGCTGAGTCTTGCTCACCATTGGTTACGCTCCGATCGACTCGACGTACTCCCTGACCAGACTTTCCGCATTCTCATCACGCTTCAGCCCCAGCCTAATAGCAGTGGAATCATCCACTCGCGCAGGCCACGATCGCAAGATCCTCTCCGTAACAGGATCGGCCTCCTCTTTGATGTACTTGAGTCTATCCTGGCCACCCACTTTGGCCAAGGCATCAACCAACTCCTGGACCGAGACCGAAATCCCAGGAAAGTTGAGCCAGCGGATGTGCGGCGGCAAGGCATCACTCGGCAGCTCGAGCACCTTCAGCAGGTTCTCGATCAGGGTCCCAGGCCCTGAAAGCACGGCGCGGTAGCTCCTGTCCTCCAACGGGATGACGCACAGCTGGCCGTTCATGGGCTCGCGGATGATACCCGACAGGAAGGAGCTCGCCGCTTGCGTGGGCTCGCCCGCCCGCACGGAAATCGTCGGGAACCGTACCGCAATCGCATCGATGACGCCGCGCCGATGGAGATCATTGATGAAGATCTCCATCATGAGCTTGTGCGTACCGTATACGCCTGCCGGGGTGGGCGTCACGCTGTCCGTAATAATATCCGGGAGAGGGGCTCCGTAGACGGCCTGGCTGGACGCATAGATGACGCGGACGCCCGTAGACTTTTCCCCCAGCTTTAGGAGCAGAGCCCGGGTGGCGTACAGGTTGACCTTCAAACTTAGGTCCGGGTTCGCCTCGGAACCGGAGGACATGATGCCGTGCAGGATGAAGACGGCGGACAGGGGCTGCGAAGCCGCTATCAGACTCTCGAGTGATGACGGATCGGTCAAGTCGGCTTGAATGAGGACTGCGTTTTCTGCATTCTGCACACTGGATGGGACTCTGGGGGAGACGACGTCGGTGAGGACCAATCGGTACCTTGGGTGCTTGTTCAGAAGGGCGGCTGCGAGCCGCTGACCGATGAAGCCAGCTGCTCCGGTTATGAGGATAGTCTTCTTCTCTTTCTCTGAGGCCATGATGGAACACTGGGCGGCTTGATCCTGTGGTTCTGTTTCACGAATATTCTTGGAAAACTGTATGTCGTGGTTCGTATAAGGGCTGTGTTGCTTATGGTGACTGTCGGCTGATGTCTCTTCCAGGCCAAGCGGGGTTTCCAGGTCCTCTTCCAGGTCTCATCCGGACTAATTATAGCCGGGATACTCATGACCCCTTCCCCTGATCACACCTTATTGAATGGCTGGAGTACACAGGATACACATATAGCAATCCTGAAGTGAGTCAACATGACTTTCTGTGATCCCAATCAACGTACACGTAGGCCAAACTCGCTATTCCAGACCGAGGACAAACCTTGACACCAGAGATACCTTGAAGCAGACAATAATCATGACCAGTCAGTCCCTTGACTTCCTCCCGGAAGATACGCAAACGACATGCCTATCCAGAAGGCTGTTCCACTCCTTCCGTATCGTTCGCAGGAGATGACTCCACTTCTTTCGTAGTGTTCACCCCGTAAATGTCTCCAAACTTCCCCCTCAAGAAGGCAGCAACCTCAGTGTTGACCATCAGCTTACTCCTCAAGAAGTCCCCGTCACCCTCAATCTTCAGTCCTCCCAGCCCGGTCGCCCTTGACAGCGCGACGTACACCTGACCCTCCTCGAACGCCTTGCTGAGGTTCACAATAACCCGGTCGAGCGTCAGGCTTTGACTCTTGTGGATCGTCATGGCCCAGGCCGGGGCGAGTGGAATCTGCGTCCTCGCAAGCAGGCAGTACGGCTCTTCATCCCCCAGCTGCGAGATGCTGCACTCGGCGTACACGGTACGTACCTCCCCGTTGTGAAAACGCACGATAGGCCATTTCTTAATCGGTGCGGACTCGGTGATGATGAAATTCTTGATCTCCCCCTCCTGGACTGCCGCGTGCTCACCTCTGATCACCTTCTGCCCTGGCTTGGCCTCGACCTTTTTCTTGCCGCGAGCGTCGTACACCTCCCGTATCGGCAACTTCTTCGCGTCGTACTCCTCAAAGCCCTTAATGAGCCCTTGGGAGCCGTTGCAGAGTCCAGCATTGAGATCGAGGTTCGTTAGCAACACGACGAGCATGCCCTGCTTGAGTTGGACACATTTACCCCAGCGGTGGTCTTCAAGGGCGTGCAGGGGCTTCTTGGTGGCGGGCGGGCGCGCTGTTCCCGATTCATTCCCCCACTCGCCTGGCCGGTTCCTCCATTGGTGTTGGGGATGCCTAGAGTTGAAGAAGAAGCTGTCGTGGCACCAATACGGGTGATTGGTGCCCTTGAACTTGTTGAACATGTCTCGATTGACATCATTCGCCTCTTTGCGGGTACTGAAGAGCTTCGTGGCTTGCGCGGTCCGGCAAGGGTGGTTCATGAGGAGTTTTATCTCCGACTCGGACAGTTTGGACCCCAGCCGGCATTTTTGAAGCATGCTGATGAACGTTTGATCGTTTTGACGGTGAATCGTCTTGAGATGGACATGCTCAAAGGCACAGTCTTGCCATGCCTTGCTCCTGAATGCCCACTTGTCCTCGTCTGCGTAGTCGCCGTGCTGCCTACACGTGTGGACTAGCTCACCAGTCTTCCCCATCTTTAGAGCCATCTTCCTGCCACATTGAATGCAATGTTGGAACGGTTTCACGGGAGGAAGCTGGCAAAAGTCACCAGTGACGACGATCTGGCAACCACCGAAGGCAGGCTGCACTTTCAACTTTGGGT